GATGTGATTGGCCCAATGAAACGTAGTGCAATATGCATTACGTTTTCCCTATTTGCTTGAACAAATAGTTTCTCAAATTTAATCACTAGGCATTTGTAAGTGAAATTAATTAAATCCTGGCCAATTCGTTTTCAACAAATCGAAAATATAATGCGTCGTGCATTACGATGCCGTTATTTTCGCCCATATTTCATGTCATTTTCTGGATTATGTGTTATGTTCACTTCATGATGTAAAATTTATTGGCAACCGGTGTGGGTCTGGAAAATGTAAATTTTGCTGATGTACTTAGAAGGTTTTTACATTTCTACATCAGCTGGCGGGGATGCTCTAAGACATTCGATTCTGCTGACAGCTCCAGTTTCGAATTGATTTGACAATACTATTCATGGTATCTGGAGGCTGCAGGAAACCGTGAAAACTGGTTTCGCCTGGGCAAAACTGACAAAACGTAATATAATTTTGAATGAAGAGTTGGACAAGCCTTAATTTAAAATGAGTATAAAATATTTTCGAAATGTAAATAGCCCAGCCTTACATTTTGTAAACGGAAAATTCACAGCTGTCAATACTTTGACTATAAAAACCTACCTAAACTTTGTCCAAATGCTTTCATTTTTTTGTTCACAACCAAGTTTTCACAGTCAACGAATATATAATCAGATTCATGAACTTCGTGTTGGTTCACGTGAAATTCGAACATTGAAGTTTCGTCAGTTTCGTCAACCTTCAACCCAAAAAAAGCCAACCTAAACCTCCTTGAATTTCACATCGCTTTGGCTCGTATAACAGAGCACAACGTTGAGATTACGCTCATAGATTGTTGAATGAAAATAGAGTCAACATTGGCCACGAAAGTGCATCAATCGTGTCAGTTTACATTTTGCTAACTGCCAAAAGTATTCTATTTTCGTTTGAAAGTCAACCTGTCGAATTGTATACGGTTACGTTTCTGGCAACCAACCAGTAGACCTGTGAAATATTAGCCCATTTATGTACAGTACAATTTGGTTGTGTCCGAAGCCTTGCTGTCCGCCAAAGCTATCCATATCCCTAGCATTCCCACTGGGTAGTACAGATGGGAAGAAATAATTGACTATTGAAAATCAGAAATTAATTCACGACACAATAGGTACTATTATAGTTAGTATATACTACGTAGTACGGAGTATTTCACTGTCAATCATAATTTTAAACAAATGTAATTTTACGCAAACTGTACGGTATCTATTATACTTCGTACTCCTTATCTTTGGTTTCATCGTCGTTACCGCTACTTCCGCCATCGCTTTCTTCTCCCATCATGACACTCATTCAACTACCGCGAGAAGATCTATCGCCATTCATATACAGTTGGACCAGAATTGACACTTTGTCGGGGCTCAGTCGGTTTCGCCGGTTGGTGAGAATGAAGTCGTAAATACTCCACACCCTTCATAGTGTATCTTGGGCATCGTGACGCCAAGTGTGAGGTGGCTGATTTACATGTCAGTGCGGCAATGCAAGATCAAAGAGTCACTGTACGAGCTGATACTGGTACTCACAACCATTCCGTTGTGGGATTTATACTTTCACTGACTGTGGTTCATGATAACTGAACACTGGCGATACAAAATTGCCCCGGGAATAGGGATTAGATGGGTGTCTACTGTAAGCTGATGTAACACACAGTTCATGGGCGGGGTATAACCATTATTAACCAACCGCAAACGAAACGTTCGTGCAAAAATCAAATTGAGAAAATCCAAATACACTCACTGCCTTTTTGGTCCTCATTCTATCTACGCAACTTCCTTGACATCGCCGCGGCAGTGGTAGTACTGGGCGAGGATGTCTTGCCAGTGCTCGATGCGGACGGGATTGGTCCAACTTTTGATGTCCTGCAACAGGGCAAACGACTTGGACGATCCTGTGATGTGCCATTCGGCTTTGAACTCTGGCGTAAAGTCCGCGACGGACCCCGGCATGCAATTCTCCTGCAGCAACAAGTTCATCTTTTGTAACTCCAAGTACGCTTCGTCCGTGGTCAGTCCCTGGTTTTCGGCTTGGGCGAGGACGGCGTCTTCGAACGCCAGCACGTTTTTGGCTTCGGCTAGCACGATTGGCTCGACGACGTGGTCAATGGCCACGTTAGCATGACTCACTCCTCGAACGCGCTCGATGCCACGGGTGGAGCTTCTACTGCGTCTACTGCTTCTACTGCTTCCGCATGTGGTGTACAAGTCCCCCAGCAATCCCACAATATCAAACGAGTAGCCCAATTGACGGGCGTCCGTGAGTTTGTAGTACTGCGTGGGCAAGTCCTTGAAGAATGACCCAATGAGCAGGTCGTTGGCCACTTCAATCGCTTGGCCTGAAACGACCAGTCGCATGCGAAGGGAGGACATCGGCCCGATGGTTTCGCCGTTCCTGGTGGAGCAGCCCTGGAACGACCGGAGGTCGTTTTGCTGCTCCAAGTCGTTCAAGTTGAGCGGCTCGACTTTGCAGTGGTAGTAGATGGTATGCAGCAAGTCGATCGTGTTGTGGTGCAAGAAAAAAATGGGGTCCATGGGGGAGATCCCGGCGTTGGCCATCGGACCGCCCAGCGTGTTGTGGAGGATGTTGTGGGGGGAGTTTTCAATGTTGTTCGACACGGTTAGGATGTCGGAGCCCCCCAGCACGCTTTGGCGAATGTTGGCAATCCCCATGTCTGAAATCATGGCAGTGTTAGCCCAGTTGCCGCGAGGTGTGCATTTCGGACAAGAAGCAGAGCCAGCGGTAGTGCACATGTGGTTCACAGGACGTTGGTTGACGCAGCGGTTGCTCGGAAACGTTTGGCCAAAGAAGGACGCGCTGGAAGGTGAGCCTTGCGTGGAGCCCCCCAATCCAGTCGCGACGGGGGCGCAGGTTTCAATCGAGGTGCATCGCTGTGCTTGGGTAGTGTTTTGCATGGTCGCGTAGTTTTGGACGTAGTCCCAGTACGGAAGGGTGAGGCACTTGTATTGGTCCCCGAGACTGCGCAGCATGTTTTCAAACCCGAGGATGTACTTACGATGCCAAAACAGAAACACGCATGTGCCATGCGCCTCGCGGTTGCCCATTTGCTCTTGGTGAATGAGGACAAACTTTTGGTACAGGCCACGATCCACGGCGATCTCTATCGCGGACTTGAACGTATCTTGTTCGGCAGCGGTGAGTGCATCCCAGGACTTTCGAATGCGGGGACAGGAAGGATCAGAGGTGGGTGCTGTGGTAGGAACAGACGTTGGCGTGGCTGTAGACGCAGGCGTAGTGGCTGGTGTAGGGGATGCAGAAGTCGTTGGGGCTGGTTTCGATTGCAGCACTCCCGACTTCCCTCCTATCAACGGGGTGTGATCTCCTTCGTCCGACTTTAGGAAGCACACGCCGTCGAACCAGTTGTACGCTTTACACCCCGGGGTGACTTCGCAGTCACTGCAACACTGTCCTGAATCCGTTTGGTCGGTGGTAGTAATGTCGTTGCCAGTCAAGTCGACATCATCTAGTACAGTGCATGTTTGGGCGAGGGTTTGGACTGCCGCCAAAGCCGAAAGTGCTACAACGATGCAGGTGCGTGAGGAAAGGACCATGGCTCGTTGGCGATGGTAAAATGAAAATGGGAATTTGGATGACCGAGTCCTTGGTGGGTGTGCTCACACTGTCTGTCATCATGTGTTGCCGTTCTTTCCTGTTTTGGTTATCTTAGAGCCTGTTCGTGAACTTGGGGATTTGGACGACCAAGTCCTTGTGTTGTCGTTCTTACCTGTTTTGGTTATCTTACTGTACTTAGAGCCTGTTCCAAGTAGAATTCGAAAACCGCGAATAATGGGATGGCATTGCCATTTTACGGCCATGATTGATTGGACATAAATCGTGTCCAGAAAATGCAAAGTGATTGGCCAACATAGTATTGCACCAAGGGCTTTCACTGCCTCCCTTGACCAAGGTCCAAGCCGAGGTCCGTTGTTGCGCTTAATAGCCAACGGGGTCGACCGTGAGATCTCTAGTCACTACTTCTTCAGCATCGCCAGTCTCCCACACGTATGAGCTGGTGACTGCGCTCTCGCACCGCGGTTATCTGTGTTCATGTCGGCCCTCACTGTCAATATTCAACCTCATAGATAGATGTGCTGAAAACGTAGGATCAATAATTGGCTGGTGGTGCAATAATTTCAGCGAGTAGTTTGGCGCGGCGATAGGTTGTCGAAAATGGTATGAAATGGGGCCATGCACCGCATTTTGAAAAGTGGATTTTGGAATGAGTTGGGCACATTTTGATTGGCTGTTACTCATTTCGAAATTTACTTGGAACAGGCTCTTATGGTTAGGTACAGAACACGACATAGAATTGGCAACTACAAGATTTTGTAATGGAGAGATGTCTACCGAAGGGAGCAAATGTTCTTGTTGAAGTATTTGGTTGATATGAGCGTAAAAGCCCTTCCGTAAGGACGAGATACAGTATAAATATCAGAGCATCCCCACTGGTAAGACTGTAACCGTAAAGTACCGTTTTACAGTTCCTTTTTGATTTTGATTTTCGTGAACCCGACGTAGTGTACTGGGAGATGCAGGAACAGGCCGTAAATTTGACATTGCGATCCACTGCCGTTAACATGTAAACGGACATTGCCGTGATGATCACAGAATTGCTGACTTCTTTCGTCGCTTTCCCAAATCGCTCGTTTGACAAACTGATGATTCTGCGATACTTGGAGGGTTAAACCGGGTATTTGCCTCACCACATGTCGATAGGATTCCTGAGTCATACATTTGCCTTTATACAGTATTTAAAGAATTTTACTATCCGTTCGCTACCCGTTCTATATCAGAAATAACGTTTCATCCCCGCATGTGCACATGTGCGAGATAAATTCGAGAGCAAAATGCGGAACTTTGGTGGGTGCATACATAGGCTAGGAATGACGACGAGGGATGGGACGCATACCAACTTGTAGACTATTACACGGCGCATGTGCGCATCACAACCAGCACCGTGGCAGCTAACTATAGATAGCGGCATCTCATGCGCATGTGCACGCATGTGCGCGAAAAACTACAAATTCGTCCTCCACCGTCGTCGTTTTCGTCCTCTGTACTCCACGTAGGTAAGGATGCTTGCATGCACTACCTTCCTATACATGTTGCAGCTCACCTCCATGCGTCGCTCTCGAGAATTCGACCACCTGCGCTTGGACTTTCCGCACAGCGCACATGTGCGAGCGCAGCATGTATACATGTCAATTCTAAAAAGATCATGCATGCATTTCCACACGTAACGTTCAGGACCATATAAAACAAAAGTTCTTTATAAAAAGTTGATATAATACAACAAACATTGAGACTCAGGTACAGAATACCGAAATACAAGGTGTCGGAGATCTGGCAAACCGGTATACATCACCGCTGTACTTGCATCCCAACATCCTCGAGTTCTCACGTATGAAGTAAACATTTTGAAGTAACGTTAGCATGTTGCATGAAGTACAGACTTTGTCGACATGCGAGATAATCGCGATTTTTCGTTCGTTTCCTGCATCTCCCTGTACGTAAGTTTAGTATTTGACAATACATTTTGAAGTAACGTTAGCATGTTGCATGAAGTACAGACTTTGTCGACATGCGAGATAATCGCGATTTTTCGTTCGTTTCCTGCATCTCCCTGACGTAAGTTTAGTATTTGACATACTGTACCGTAGTTCGTAAATAAAAAAAAATTATACTCCGGAGTAAGTGTCAAGTGGGATTCTCTATAACTTTATGCGCTTGTAACAACGGTAGCAAAGAATTAAGAAAGAGAGTTATTATCACACCAAGAAGAAGGAATAATACAGTACCTGCAATTGAGATCGATTTTTTGTTGCCTCTCAAAAATGAAATCATTTTTGAGAGGCAAGAAAATCGATCTCAACCATTTGCTTTACTCCATCTATCTCAACCATTTACTTTACTCCATCTATCTCAACCATTTACTTTACTCCATCCATTTCACAACCATCAAATAGCCGCCCAATTCCATTCAATACAACGTTGATGTGGGCATCGATAAACGATAGCATGAATATTCCGACAAGATACGACAACGATTCTATTGGATACTCCGAAGTAGGAAGGGTACAGGGAAAGCGAAAGGGCTCACATATACACCTAGAATGATGATCTACTGCGTCCGTCGGGTAAGTCTTTCGTAGGTATGGTGAGGGTAACATGAACTAAGGTGCAATGCCACTTGCTCACGTGTAAACATAACTACTACAACGAGCAGCGGCCTCCTTATGACGGATATCGCATTCCTATATTTAGCAAACCTGATTAGGAGTAAGTAACTGCCGAAATGTCGGAATATGACGAACTAACTATTTGGTGGACTATCGCCGCATTTAAATTTGTATATGAGACCAGGATATTTCAGATTCCATTCCGACAAGGTTTGTCGGAATGTGTCGGAACCGACAGAATTCAGCTAACCCTACCTCTAAATGACTTTGATTGGTCAAAATGGTTGGTGGTCTGCCTTAACAATCCGGAACTTCTCCTTGGAGTCGGCATCGGAGTACTGTTCCAACAGCGGATAGAATTTTGACTTGCAAAATGTCTCTAATAAAAGCGACCTTTAGCAAACCCGGAATTTTACCATATTCCTGAAATTGTTTTCGATTGTGAACTGGAAATTTGGTTCGTAAAGTTTAAATTCTACCTTTAGCAACCTCGGAGTTTAAAATTTCTGTGCGACATGCATTACAAGAATTAATACTATTAATTTCGTTGCTGACTCTACAAAGTGGCATTGAAGTGTCTCCGCTCGATGTTGTACTTTTACGTGTATATGCTTCCAAGCCAGGATACCCATTCAAAGTAGAATGCAGTAGCACCATGACAAACTACCTAGAGCATCTCCACCCATCAGTCTTAACATGTAAAGGTCAACTTTTTTCGGATAACCCTTACATAGGACCAGGTTTGGTCTTATGCTCCAACGCGTTGATTTTATCCGGGCCTAACAAATACTAAGTCTAAAAATAAGATTAGCCCCGAAAGTCCTACTACAGTAGTATCATACAGTAGTCCAAAAATAAGATTAGCCCCGAAAGTCCTATCATAGGACTTTTTCGCCATTTTTTTATGTAAATATCACCCTACAGAAAATAAGATTAGCCCCGAAAGTCCTATCATAGGACTTTTTCGCCATTTTTTATGTAAATATCACCCTACAGACTTGTGCTATCTGGAAGAGTAATATAATATACATAGGACGTTGGAATGGTCCGCCTATCGAATTTGAGAAAACACATGTCCTCGAATAATATTTGAATTTGAGAATATTACAACGTGAGGGTCGGCGCACGTGCACCTCAGATTTTATTTCACATGCAGTCGACGCTTCGCATCCCGAAACGTAACTACAACATCACCATCAAACAGGAGTTTCTTAGACTCATAGAGTCGACGGTCGACTATAAAGTGGCCGAGTTGATGAACATCGCCGAACCATCCGAACGTGGGTCGATCAAAAGGCCGACATTCTCGCGTAAAATGAAACAAAAGCACAATAAGGTCAAACCAGGTAGGCCAATAGAGGAGTTTCCTGATCCTGCTCGTCGGATATATTAATACAATGCGATTACAAGAGCGTTCTCTCTCACAACTTCCCACCTGATCATCTGGATCAAGCGACACCCAGTCCACTGGATGCACACCTTCCTTGCCCGCAAGAATCCAAGGACTGGGTATGTATATTGGACTGCTTCGTCTGCTGCAGCACGTTTCCACCGTAACGGATTCTCGCGGCAACGTCCAGGCAAGAACAAGGCTCGGCAAGAAGCTCTGTTGGAAGTGCGAGACGACTATGCGACTGAGTTCCAATCGAAGATACCGTGGCTTCAGTCCGACTGCATCTACAATGTTGATGAACCTGGGTTCTACTCGACATGCCGCCGAGGTACATTTGGTCCGTACGTGGAGGGGACGCAAAGATTTCGACAGGAGAGAAGCTCTCACTTCGCATGATGGTGGTGCTGACTGTGCGCTCCAACGGCGACAAGCTCCCTATCTTCTTTGTCATTCGTGGCACTCCTGGCGTCCGCATCGACAGGGCGGAACTCCAAACGTGCCCAAGTGGTCACTTCTACGCTGTTCAGGCCAAGGCGTGGATGGACAATATAGTGTGGAAGACGTACCTTCGACGCCTCTTGTAAACATCTCTGACCGAGCCATCGGTGGTCCTGCTGGACAACTTTGAGTCCCACGTGAACAAGGATTCCTACCGTATCGTTGAAGACGAGCTTATTTCTTGACCCTATACCCCCAAATGCTACGTCCAATTGTCAGCCTTTGGATGTAGATATAATGGCACCATTCAAGCGGTACCTTTGTGACGAATGGCTTACCAAATAGATGATCACGGACGTTATCACGACATTGCACGAATGTTTGGTCGTTCACGAGGGCGCCTATCCGACATTTTCAACCACATGGTGCATGATCTGTACGACCGTTGGAAACAGGTTTTGTTTCTCAATTTGAGATTGCTGCGTGCCAATATGGACAAGTATTGTGTGGCCGTCCATAACAAAGGATCACCGCTCAGTTGTGTGTTTGGCTTCATTGGCGGAACGAAGGTCCAAACGTGTCGTATTGCAGCGGTTGGAGACGGGTTAAATCTGCGAAAACAGTTGTACACTGGGCACAAACGAATCCATTGCCTCAACTACCAAGCCGTTGCTGCCCCAGATGGCATTTGTATTCACTTTTGGGGACCAACTGAGGGTCGACGCCACGACTCAGCGATGCTCGCGCACAGTGGCCTCTTACAAGCGATTTCAAGCCATCCGGCAATATTTGCCTCAAAATACATCTTCGGTGACCTAGCATATGGAGTAACCAGGCACATTATCAGCGGCTACAAGGGAAACATCATTTCAATCGAAAAACAAAACTTCGACAAAGCCATGAGTAGCGTGCGACAGTCAGTCGAATGGAATTTCAAGATCATGAAAACACTGGGCGTCATCACGTTCAAGTATCTTGCAAACGTTCGACAAGCACCGGTGGCGAAAATCGTTTGTGTTGCCATGGTGCTGACGAATTGTCACTGCCGCCATTTCCGGGGTAATCAAATCAGTATGTGTTTTGAAGTAGCCCCACCAACGCTCGAAGAGTATCTTGACACAGTGCAGGTTGAAACAATCTAACAGTAATAAATTGAATTATATCGACAGTTGCATTAACAATAACAAGTGCATTAATAGTAATATTTACTACTAGAGCAATATAGCTTGTGAGCCAAGCTAACACAATGACAATTACTCTACAACTTCTTCACTAGTGCATCAAGCACGGTAGTCATAGCGCTCTGCATCACTTGCATTTGATGCATCTGGACCTCGCGGCCTTTTGGCGTTCCTAAACTTCACGTTGGCGGTCCATTTTGCGCTCCTCAAAATCACGTTGGCGTTCTTCAACTTCACCTTCGCGATCTTTCTTGCGTTCCTCCAACTCACGTTCAAACATGAACTTGCGTAGATCAAGCTCACTTCGGTTGCCTTCGTTCATGAGTGTAAGGATTTTCAGCAATTACCACCCGACGCATTCGACTCCCCGTCACCTTCTTCGGCTTTTCGTTAACCTTGAGATTCCATGGCTTCGTCACGAACAAGAGCATCGGCTCCTTCGGACCGTGCTGCTGTGCTGTCTTCGGTGCTTGCACGACGCATTTCTTCGTTCTTGGCCTCATCCACTTGGGTTGCGATGTCGTCCAGCATGATGGCCTTCTCCGTGACGTCTTCGGAAACGCATGATGCCCGCATTGAAGCTCTGTTGTCTTCACGATGATCACGCAACAATATGGCAAATCGGGCTTGTGCCTTCTTGCCATCGAACTGGGGACGGTCAAAGCCACCCACGGTAGCCAGATTCCGTGCAACGGAGTCCCAGACATCCATAATTTTTCCACGACGGGCGAGGAATGGCATCTCCACCCTGATTTGGGTCAGAAATAAGATGTCTTGGCGCTCGGTGAACTGCCGACGTTTCTGAGGAGTTGACATTGCACACACGAAAGGTAAGGACTGGGTTCTGCTCAGACACCCCTCGGAGAGGAACCACAATCAACTTTGAAGAGTTTCCTTACTGATTTTCCAAGGGTTTCGAAAAACAAGTGGTGGGAAGCATAAGAGGAAACGATCGGAATTTTTAGAAACATCTCTATACTCGGTGTTCACATTTACAGTTAATATAAAACTATATCAATAATGTTTTAGAAAATGGCTTGACGTGACCGCGGCTCGAACCCCTGCCCCCTTCCTTAATCTACTTGGACGCCGTCGCACTAAACCATTGCGCTATCGCGTCAAGTGCTATCATCGATGTATGCTTCATGTATAGCTCGTGTCAGCGAACTTTCGATACTGTCTCAATTGGTTCATGTGAAAACGGATTTTCATTTCCACCATTTTTCAAGTTTGGACTAACGCATTTTTTATAGCCTCTAATTAAATTACTCAAACGTGCTTCGTATTGGCTGGAAAATCAATGGAACTTCGGTAGCCAATTAAATCGCGAGAGACAGCAGAGCCTTGAAGGAAGCTGTAGGCGGACCATTCCAATGTCCTCTGTAATAAAAGTGATTTGAAGTAATACAAAAAAGAATATTCAACATAGTCAAAACTAGTATATAGTCAAAACTAGTATATAGTCAAAACTAGTATATAACTATTTGAAAAATGCCTATTCAATTTACTTTGACTACTAAAAAAGACAACTCAAGATGACACGCGGAGAAACTTGCAACCCACAGGAAGTCGTCCAGCTCACGAAGTCATGGCTCGCCATCTCAGGTGACCCTGCGACAGGGGCTGCGCAGAATGTCGCTGACCTCCTCAACAAGCCAGTGTAGTGTAGAGCACTTGCCGGGACGGGATTGGGCGTCGTCGACTTGAACGACCGGGTTGGCTGGGCTGTCGATTGTGGACATGGCAGGAATCGAGTGAAGGAATGGTCATCATCGTTTTATTATCCGGATGTGTATCCGCATCGACACGATGTATCTACCTCAGCAAAGTTTGGGAGATAGAGGTGCCTGGATCTCCGAAATGTGTTGAGATTCACACAATTCGGAGAACGTGATTTTAGAGGTTTATAGATTTAGGGTGCGTATGGTAACATTTCAAAAAATTTATTCCATTTTCTCGGAAAATGGGATTAACCCAAAATGCCATTTTCAAAATGGAGGTAAAAGATCCATTCCAGCAAGACATGTTTCAATTTTGATCAGATTTGTTGAATTGGGCCCCAAAATGGCGTTTTGGGCCTGAATATTGCGCAATATTTCCGGTTACCAGACGCACCCTTATTGAGTATTTTGTGCTATCTCAACTCAAAAGTGGACTACCAAAAACTCTCTATTGAACACGCCCTAATCTCTGTTGACATCAACGTGTAACAATAAAAACAAATTGATTGCTTGCACTTGATAAGATCGTTGGTTTTGAATATCAGTACCGGTATCTATAGTAATAACTGTAAACTATTCATTGTCCGGCACAGCTAATTGTAAGATTTTCATTGAGCCAACCATACTACTGTAGTATCTCTAATGCTGGTAGGATTTACGCTAGTACTACGTAGTAAGTAGTACTGTGGGTGTTGGAGTACTTGCGGTGGTTTGAATTTATCTTCTGTCTGAAGGTTGTGCCCCTTTTTTGCAACGGTTAACGGGATTTTCTTAGTGCAACACTACAGTAAACGGGGATCAAGTCGCGACGCGAAATCGATTTGCAACAGTTGCGAATTCACATTGGAGGCCACTATAACGTTAGCCAGGAGTTCGTCGCACCTTGAACGTTGTTCTCTGCATCTGGGTGGGGGCGCGAGACCTTCCGAGGTAGGCTTGCTTCTGCTTTTCGTGAGGTGTACGGCGCATTACCGGGGGTTAGCGATAGCAACCCACTGGCAATGCGCCAAACCTCGGAAAATGAAGTTTGCACTTTGACTTAACTGTTGTAGGTTCCAGGACGCCAGGGTTGCGATGTTTCAAGGCTCTTCACGTTCTTGGGTACACATTTTTCGGGGTTTCGGGATTTCGTTTATATCGAGGTACTCTTGATATTTCATGCGCGAAGGGCCATTCCTAATTCCTGCCAGGACACTAGCGCAGCGGCGAGTTCCTTTGTATTGAGATATGATCATTCATTTATTGTGCTTTCGAGTGAAATTTCGTGTTGTGGCGTGGTTTCTCGTTGGAATTTAAATCGATTTGATTGGCTACCTCAGGTGAGCTCAAAATTATTAGCCAATAAAAACCCTCTTAGTGAAATTCAACCAATCAGATCGATTGTGGATCTGTTAGGGGTCGGCGCAATTCGATTGCTCCCCCTCCCCAAATTTGTATCAAATCGACAATAAATAAACGACACTTAACCCATTAAATATTCAAGCGCCAGGGAATTAACAGTAACAGTAACCATAACTTATACACCTCGAAGTACACTTTGGTCAATTTCTAAAATATATATATTTTTCGCAAACTTTTAATTGTGCCAGGAACAATCCAACACAAACATGTTTATCATGCGTTGGATAGAAAACTATTCTTGGCCACGATCTGCGCGGCAAGGGGGTGCAGCTCCTCGTAGCGCGTAGTTTTCTGGGTCCACTTCTGCGGGACAGCTCCTTCCGCCGCCGCGGCCGCCGTGACGGCGCCAATGAAGATGGACCTACCGGCGTTGTCTCCGCCGGCGACAATGTTGGACTGCACCGACGGTTCGACCGCTCCATCGTTCGCCAACAGCACAAATAAGATGCCATGCAACGCACCAGGTAACGGGCACGACTTGCCGTACGTGTTGATGGCTTTCGTGACGTCCTTGGACACGGCCACATCCGCGAGTACACTTGTTACGATCTGGCGAATCGACGCTTCAACGAGGGGGTTCGTGGCAGCGGCCTCGATGGCGCTTCGCACAGATGTGCCGTGCAGCACCACCTGCTCCAAGATCACAGCACCCGCGACGGCCGTATCGACGGCGATGGCCGCATGCTGATGGACCTTGACGGCGTCGCGGACGATGGACAGCAAGTCGGGGTGCCCGGCAAACCGAGCGACGAGAATCGGCACCTTGTTCAGTCCTTGTGTGTCCGGGTGGTCGCTGGCGGCGTCCGGGAACGTTTTGCCTGCCTCGACGTTCGCGATGAAATCGCGCATGACTCCATTCAGGCGACCCGTGTACGCTTTCATGGCGTTGTACGAGGTGGTGGTATACTCGGAGGGGGAGAACTCGTCGTGAGACGCCAAGTACTGCAATAGCGACACGATCTCGTCGCCGTACGGAGAGAGCGAGCCAAGGGGGTTGTCGTAGTACTTGGACGCGGGCGGCGAGAAGAATGTTGGGTCCTTTCCGGCCACAAGCGCGGCAAGCTCGTTGGCGTCGTAGATCCAATGAAGTGGCATGGACGCAGCGTCCGCGACAAAGCCAGTCGCGGCGGCAGAGATGGCTCGGCGGGTGGCAGCACCAGACATAATTCGAAAATGACCATGTTCACAGTCAGATGAAAGATCCATTTGGGCTTCACCAGAATATTCGACCCGATGTTTTGGGGTAAAACAACCAGGTTAAACCTTGGTAAACTCAATTTACGTACGGATAAAGTGTACGGATAACTGGCCCATACAAACGTCAAGACGTATGGTGTGGTGGCCAAAGTACGTCCGAGCCCATACATTTCTGTTGTAGCAAACTAAAATAGCTCTCTCATTTTTTCGTCCATTGTGAATTGGAACCACATGATCGATTCGCCTTGTGGAGATCTATCGTTTTTGTGGTTATAATTTGCCAGGAAAAAATAATACTGCACATGGTATAACGCTGTAAAAAGTGCTCAAAATATCGTCGTTTCTACGCTTCTTGCACCATATCCGTATACTACCTCCAGACGGAAATAGAAGTACCTTTTCAAAATCAGCCAAGGACGGAAATAGAAGTACCTTAGCAGAGCCCCATGAAATATTATAAATATATAGGCTGAGCCATATAAAGGTCAATATAATATAATAAAAACAAATGTTTTTTTTATTTAATAATGCTTCTCGATACAAAGACTCAAATGAAATAAATATTTCCTTCCAAAACATACATTCTTTATTCATCCTGGTCATCGATGTCAAGAGTTTCCAATGCTGTGAAGATGTCGCTCATTTCCAAGTCGCGCGCTGTTTGCAGAGACAGCTCAAGCATGACGGTGCTTAGGTCGACCTGGCCGAGCAGTGTGCAACCATCGTCGTAGACGTCTTTGCCGCACGACACAGACTCGGGTAGGCGGCCACATTTCTTCAAAGCAGCCTTCTTCATGTGCGAAATCTTGTAGGAGTTCCCGCCGGCGCAGCCGATGACCTCACGCAAGCATGATTGCAGCGTCAAAAAGTTGCGCTCCAACGACCATGGGTCTACGTCCTTCCACGCGTTGTTCGTCGCATTCACGATGTCTTCGTAGGTGTTCGAGTGGTGCGTCTGCTGAAGTGCTTGGATTGCGCGAAAGAACCCGAGGTCCAAGACGTTCATGTCCGGCGAGTTCGGTGGTTGGTACTTCAACTTCATCGCCCATCCATCGGACGTGCAGGCCTTGATAATGTCGGCGTCACTAGGTGGGACGTGCAGGCGGGCATTGTCCTGTTGGATGAAGACGGTCTTCGAACAGTCGGCCGGCCAGAGAGCTTTGATGGCAGGTATGACGTTGTCGATGAGCATCTTCTTGTACACAGGGCGTGTCACGTTGACAGGTCGCAGCTCCATTGTCCCCGCGGGACGGTTTCGTGACGAGCGGGCTGCCCGAACATGCTGGGTAAAGTGCCACGTGCCGATCTTACCATCGAACCATTCGGACTTGGCGTTGTCCCATAGAGGTCGTGCAACTGCCGACAAGAACATCACCTTGGTGATGAATCGCTTGCTTTGAGTCGACCGATGTGGAGGCTCCTCTCCGGGCAGCAGGTAGAACCGGGAACGGATTGGCGTGGCGTGGAACCACTTTTCGTCCACGTGTACGTAGTCGTACATGTCGTGGAACGCGTACGTG